ATCAAGCTAGCTCTACGGGGGACTAGTTCTGTAACAGGTCAACTGATGTGACTTACACACAATATTTTCATCGTCATTTTGGACGTCAAAACAGGGGCTCTGCCCTTCTTCTTCTGGATGTCAAAATAGTTTGGTTTTGTAGTTAAAATTGTAGATTCAGTTTAGGTTCTGTAACAGGTTTAACTGAGGTGGGTTACAGTCTTATAGATAGAATTTTCATTGTCGGATGTTAAAATAGGGCCTCCGCCCTTCTTCTTTCGCCCCGTTCTATTTATCTCCATATAAATTTATTTAATTTAATTTGGTTTTGTAGGTAAACTATCGTAGAATGGTATTCTCTGAAATTCATGATGTATATTGTATGGGGCGACTCCTACCTTGAAGCCTCCCTCCATCAAAAACAATGCCATCATTGCCTTGCTTGAAGTAGAAATGAAAGAAAATGGTAAAACACTAGGATCTACTTAATATTTGCTTCTTTTAATGGACTTGGGGTTTCAGGTATTCATTAGAAAGATGTAGGCCAACTTATCAAGATTTCCACGGAAAAAATGATGAGCAGCAAGGCTTGAATTAAATCTTGACCTGTAAATATTAAATAAGATTGCTTGCTATCATTGGATTTTTCCTCTGTCCAGGGTGTTATTAATTAGAACCAGAACCTAACTTAGTAGATCAGCATTCTCACCGTAATGGTGTTTTGGAAATTTGCATACTTAAAATGCAACTTTGCCATCAACACAGCTCATAGCTTCAAAATCCATAAGATGGGATACCTCTTCTAATTTTAACAAGTCAATAACTACCTAGTTTCAATTTTGTATATGTAGTTGGTGGGCATAAGCATCTTTGGATCCAAGCGGCAATGAAAAATGGTAAAACACTAGGATTTACTTAAGATTTTCTTCTTTTAGCATTTCTTTATTTGTTTATATTTTGAATTCTCTTCCTTCTTTCCTCCCCCTCTTTCTATGCTTCCTTAATGGGATCTTTACTGACATGCAGAATATGAGACCTTTAGTTCTTTACTAACATTCAATGTTTTATAGAATAACATCTTTCCTTCTTTCCCTCTTTCCTCCCTCTCTTTTCAGTTTCAAAAATTTTATGAGATGGGTTATGTCTCTAATGTAGCTTTATTATTATTCTTTTATACATAAGGAAATTGCAAAAATTCAACAGCTATTTTTTATCTAATGAATTAATTCAGATTGCGTTGAAACAAGAAGTTATGGCAGAAAAGAAAAAGGAAAGTAGTAGATCTTGAAAAGCTTCTCAGGCTGAGAGATGATCAATTTGGGTTTCTGGTTGAGAAACCTGGGTATTTCTCAAAATTTCTCATAATCTACAATATTTTTGGTCAATTAATTCATAACAGTGAATAAAAGATGATAATCTGAATATAAAACTTCAAACCCTTTTAGTCTAATCTCTGTTTTCAAGTTTAACATATTGTTAAGTTGTCAACATGTAATTGACAATTTACTATTTTTAGGAGAAGACCATTAACCATTCAAATTTTGAAGAAAAACACTTTATTTAGCAGTAATTACAAAGATTAGAGCCATAGTGATAAGGAGCATAATAGTAATGAATTTTATTAAATAATAAAGTGGAATAAAAAAACATCTAATTCATCACCATTATCAGAGGGACATCCATCTCTTGCTTTTTCAGACATCTCTTCATACACCCCCTTTCTCTTTCTGTCTCTATCTTTCTCCTCACCGAACCGAAGTAAACACGCTAAGAAAGAGAATGAAAGTAAAGCAAGGAGATAAGAGAGAAAAAATAGTAGAACACACCCACCACCACACAACACAACCCAAATAATTAATTATAAATAAATTATAAATGGCAAAACCTCCAAAGCAGGCTTTCATATCTCTCTTCTCTTCTTTAACCTGTATGCCTACCGTTGTAATTGGATTTTAATTTCTTTGAATATTTAAATGCTTTGAGGTTTAATATTTTTCTTTTTAAATGAACAAGTGCCTTTTTCCCTTGGAGATTAATTGGAGACTTCTTGACAATAATGTTTATTTAAGTAGAGCAAAATATCATTCAGTTTTGTAGTATTTTTTTAGGCAAGAAGGATTTTGTGCTCATTTTTTTAAAACTAATTATTAGAATAAATCTTCTGGTTATTTATTTCTTACCTGAGATTTGTTGAAAGTCTAAACTTTAGCTAACTACCAAAAAAAAAAAAGTCTAAACTTTAACAATATTCAAGTTTTCTAGAAAGTTTCCACATTGTTTTCTTATAATTTTAATTGAACCGAAAGCATGAAGCATAAAGTGAAAAGCAACATTTGTTTTAGTTTTTTATATCTAAGAACAACTTATACCTTTTTTATATTAAATAAGGGCTATTGGCACCAACCCGTGCACCAAAATGGGTCATCTCTGCTTACTCATTTTCGGAAAATTGTCCTGACCATATAGACCTAATCCGATACATGGGTTGGGTTGAAAGATATTTATTTTGATATAATTCAGATATTTATTAAAAATGTTCTACAATATCAATTTATTTTAATATATCCAGTAATTAATTAGCTATTTTCATTAATTAGTTATTTTAATATTTATTATTGCCTTTGAAATTAACAAAAATGCAAAAAAATAAATTAATTTTCTACTGAAAATTAATTTTAACACTAATATTTTTAAAATGTTAAAAATGAAATCTTCAGTAACTTTTGAAAATAATTTTGAGATACGTATTAAAAATATTTAGTAATATCAAATTATTTAAGTATTCTCGGAAATAATTCAAAACAATTTTAAGATGATTATTAAACAATATTCAATTTATTGATATTTTCATTAATTAGTTATTTTAATATTTATTATTTATTTTAATGTTTCCATTAATTATTTATTAATTTTAAAGTTACTGAAAATGCAAAAATAATAATTTTGACTAAAACCATTTTTCCACTAAATCTTAGTGAAAGAGTTTTAGTAATACTGAAAATTGATATTTTTCAAAATGTAAAAAATTAATTTCAGTAATTTTTGAAAATTTTCAGCAATTTATTAAAACCTTTCAACAATGATTGAGATTAATTTTCAGATGCTTATTAATGTTTCAGTAATTATTGAAAATTTTCAATAATTTTTTGTGGAAATTAATTTCAGTAAAAATCAATTACATATAATAATTTTTGAAACTTAGTTATTGATTTTTAGTGATTTGATTTATGTATTTTTATGAAATTAGCAATCAATATTTGTCAAGGATTAATTAATTATTCGGATCAATAATTACTGAAAATTTAATAATTAAAATTTATTGAAAATTTACTGATTGTGGCCCATTTATCTATTTAGTGAAATTATCTCTTGATTTTGAATTATTTGTATTTTTTCTCGTGCATTGCACGGGTCCCCACTAGTAACAATAATAGAATCTAATAGCAACAAACTGCSGGGGCTGTGAGGCGGGGAGATTCACATGCACCCTAAAACCCTAGAATCCAATAGCAACAACAAGGCCTCCCCCTTGGGTTTCTAGCAAATGCTTTAACCTCCCCTCAACTTTGACCTCTCCAAAAACGAGATTGAATATGCTCCTCAGACGAAGCGCCTCACACTGACCTAACAAGCACATCCCACCATGCATTAGGAACATCTCCTACACATATACGTTATTATTTATGGGAAATGTTCCTAATGCATGGTGAAATGTGCTTGTGAGGTTGGTATGAGGCGCCTTGTGTGAGGAGCAAATCCCAATTCTCCAAAAACCTCCCTCCATATTTTGGATAAACTATAGGGAAAATTTCCGATTAGTATCCTGTACTTTGGGCCTAGTGTCACTTTGGTCCTCAAACTTTAAAGTGCGACAATTCAGTACCCAAACTTTCAAAATGTGACAATCCAGTATCTGCTGTTAATTAGTTGTTAACCAATCGTTAAGTGGCATTTAAAAAGACACAAGTTCCCTTAGAATGTCATCTAATTTTTTTTATCAACCATCCAAACGTTGACAAAATATTAACAGCCCCAAATCATTGCCTCTTCTATTCAACCATCCAACCATCCAAACATGACTCCAACTTTCTTGAATTGAAAAGGCAAGGATTATCAACATTTAGATGGTTGATAAAAAAAATTAAATAACACTTGAAGGGCATTTATGTCTTTTTCAAATGGTACTTAACAATTTATTAATAACTAATTAACCGCAGGTACTAGATTATTACCTTTTAAAAATTTGGATACTGAATTATCGCATTTTAAAATTTGAGAACYGGCCCAAACTCTCTGATCTCTCCTTTGGTTGATTTGACATTTGAGGTGATGGGATCTCTTAGAAGCCAAAACTCTCACGTACACACTTTAAAAATCAGCAGGGGCATCCAATTGCTGGGATCGTCTCCCAGGAGATATTCCTCATGTGTGGTTGAGTGCCTTGGTGACTTGCTGTGCGGTGTTTTTGCTTGCACGAGAACAGGAGATCCGGACTCATGTTATTTGAAGTGAAGCTTTTTTTGGTTAGAAGATGATGTTATGCTTTTAAATTCCAATTTTACCCAAGGAAAAGAATATTGAAAACATCCATTGACCGAAAAAGCACAAAAATACTAATGAAATAAAAATTAAAAACAATTAATTAAAGAAAACCTCTTCGAACCAAACCCCTTTCTCTCCTTTCCCTCCCTTCCTAGTACCAAAAAGCATGGGAACCCAACTGCACATTGGTAACATCTCCCCATGAATTTATGGAAGATATTCCTAATGTGCGGCTTAATGCTATATGCACAGTCTTTGCTTGCAAGAGGTCCGGGCTCACCAAACCTCTAAATGGAGGTATAAGGATTCAGCTTGTAGAATTTGTTGAAATTTGGAGGGAGGTTTTTTTGAGAAGTTAAGTTCAGGAAAGTAAAACAGTTGTTGGAAATTTAGGCAATTTATCCTAAATATACCCTAAAGAAATAATAGAGCAAAGGAACAATTCGGAAATCATCACTAAAGAATGAAGTACAGAAAAGTAGTTCATATGTTCTCTTTTATTACCTATTTTAAAACCAATATAGTAATCGATAACAACACAACCAAACTATAATTCCTTTGCATAAGTACAAACAACAGCTTGACACTCTCCATGAACCCAAATTATCTCCACACAAGCTTCAATAAAGAATCAACAATTTGCAAGTAAAAAACACACAACACATCACTGATCACTTAGACCCATCTTTTTATAGCCTACTTTAGGAGGATAGCTGGACTAAGCTTCAGTTGAGCCTCTGCGGCCCTCACCAACCTTGTTTCAGATGGAGTAGAGTGCCAATTCACTCTTTTATCCTGCAATAAGCAAAACAGTTAATTAGTAACAATCATTCATTAATGTGAAAAGCACTCTTATATACCTCTCTGTACACTGGTTATGTTTGGTATTCCATTGCAAGAAGAGCCTGAGCTGGAATCCATGGCCTGGTCTGTATGATTCCAGTAACTACCCTAGGTACCCAAGATGAATATTTCATCAGGGCTCCGACTTGGCACCCTTTTGAGCTCTTCCATGGTCAATGCACCTAAAATTGGCCAATCTTTACGACTTGGTGAATGCTACAAGATTCTCTCAGGAGATGATTCAATGGGGGACATTGACGGTGCTGGTTTTGGTGATGGGTGTTGTGGTTTCGGATGACCCCAACCAGTTTGAAAGGCTGGCATCGACTGCGGTTTCTTTCTTGGGAGGCTTAGGATGATTGAAACTGAAGCTTCGCTTGTTGGGTGATTGCTTGAATGTTGGTTCTGAACTGAAGGGTATTTGTGGTTCGCTGTCGAAATTGATATTCTCCTTCGTCTGGTGCTTCGATGGTGGGGTTGTCCTTGTCTTGACAGATTTCCACTGCGTGAGATTTTCAACTGGGTTCAATACAGAATGAACATACTGACTCCTGTCTCGAGCGTTTTGGTTCGATCGAATTGTCTTCTCGAACAGAGGAGTTGAGAAAGTACTTCTCCCTGATTCCATCGGCAAAGAGAAAAACGACTTAGAAGACTCTTCTTCAGGCACCCTTCGAACATCCTCTTCCTCCTCCTCCTCCTCCTCCTCATCGTCATCATCGTTATAGTCTTCGTCTTCGAGGTCGCTTATATCAGATTCGATTCCATCATCTTCATCGTCACTGTTTCTGCAATTTCCGTATCTGTGGTTTGGAGGAAAAGATACCGTGCTCGAAGTGATGGAATCATCCTCAGAGAGGGAAAACGATTGCTTGTTTTCCCCTGTTTCTTCTCCTTTTCCTCTTTCTTTCTCTTCATCGCTCTCCGCTGAATAATTTGTGGGTTCATGTGTTGAGACTCCCTCATAGGTTTTCACGTTCAAATCAAAGGTAACTCTCTTTCTGGGGATGAAGCTCAGTTGCTTCTCAGCCTTATCTCTACGCAGTGAAGGAGAAATGCTGTAAGACGTCTATAGAACAAGAACCAAGAAAATTCAAGAAACTTAAGTGAAATGAGGAGCGGACTGACCTCAGTTCTGAAACAGGGCTAATGGGTTTTACTGTGACGTACTGCTTTGAAGAGAAAGTTGGTTGCAAGGGTTCGGAACATCCATGTCTCTGCAACAAAATTCAAAACCCCATACTTTGTTTAACCGAAAAGATCAATGATTTAATAAGAAAACCCATAAATCATACAACAGAGAGGGCTTACTTGGTCTCCAGGGAGAACTCTACTCGCCAGCTTGTGGCGTTTCCAATTCTTTGAAGTACCAAAACAAGCAAGAAAACACCCCATTAGAAATCTGAGATCCCTCGCTTGATTTCGAAAACGTTTAGTTTCCAAGGGAGGTAGATCAGTTGAAGGCTCTTCAACGAGATAGAGAGAGAAAGAGAGAGATGGTTTTTTGGTTGCCCTTGCTGGGAAAGAGAGAAGAAAAGTAAAAGAAGAGGAGGACAAAACGGTCAAGAACATAACCAGTTAGGTCAGTCAGTTTTGAAAATGTGACCGTTAGGATAGAACAAGGTCATGGCCTCATGGGTGAACGGTATAGCGAAGCGGACGCCAGTGAGCCAGCCTGTAATTTTATTCGAACTGGACTGGACGGGAGGAGCGGAACATTTTAGGGCCCAGCTGATCTTATTGTAACTGTAAATGGGTCGGGTCTACCCGTCAATTAATAATTGGGTTGGGATCGGTTCTCATTGTTCCAAACCAATTATACCCGACCCGATTTATGGTTAGCAATATTTCATAGACAGTATACACATGTTTTATTTATTATTTAATAAAGTTACAAGTTATAGGTAATTACAATATTAATCAAGCAGACATGATTATCTTGAGTCTGTCTTATAGAACCGATTGATAATTGGTTTGTGATTATTCCACCCTGTTCGGTTGTTCCAAGGCTTTGTTTGCTTACAATGCAATTTTATTTGTACCAGTACAAATGCATCAGAGTGCAAATGAAAAAATGCAAATTCTCGTTTAATTTTGTTTTGGACTTTATTTTATTCGGCTTCATATCTTAATTTACTTCATTTGTACTTCAATCAAACAAAATAAGCTAAAATTTGAAATAAAAATAGGTCATAATTTACATTCAAATCATTTGCACTACCATAGTTTTGCATCAGTGCAAATTTATTTGCATTGTAACCAAAAACAGCCTAAGGTTCGGTTCACAAAGAGTACAAATTCAAATATGCACAGTACAAATACATACAAAATACAAGGTTTTGCACTCTACATATTTGCATTTGTACTCCTAAATTGAGCCTAACCACGTCAAATTTATTGATTACTACCAAGGTTCAAAGTATCAGAAACGTAATGTGCATTAAAGAGGCAATTTTAAGAGATGTATCAAGATAAGTTTTGAATACACATGGATACAAACAAAAAATTAAGACATGCATGGATACACCGAGAAACTCATATAAATCCTAAAAAAATTATATTAATAACAAAAACACATGCACTTTATATGATTATAAATAAGTTCTTTAAATAAAAACAAAAAACCATATTTCAATGATTTATACAAAGTGTGAAATATCAGGATATAAATGGAAACCGTTGAAAAATGATGGAAGAATTAAAATGTGTGTTTAAACATGCATACCTTAATTTTTAAAGAATCAACATAATTTGTATTAACATTATCATTCTTTAGAAAATAAGACCAAACTAGCCAATTGGATCAATTGAATCATGACTTGAGCCCTTGGTCAGTTCAGTTATACCCCCAAAATCGGATTTGGTAAAAAACAATTGGTCAAAACTACTAACTCGACTAGTCAAACTGGACAACTGATGAATCAATCCTGGTTTTAGAAAACCACCCACTTTTTTTAATTTTTTAACACATAAATGCAAACTTTTAAAGGCTATAACTTTTTGCTCAGATGGGGTGGTCTTTTTCTATTTTGGGCAACTTTTCAATATAGGTGTCTTACAAAAAATAGGAATTAAGATAAAAATATATGTTATAGAAATGTTATAGAAGAGTATAATTATATATTTTGAATATATTATAATTTAATATATAACCAATGGGGACCCCTGCGACGCACATGCTTTGATAAGCAAAAACTAAATAATAGAAATGCATAAGAGTATACAATTGTTTTATATTTTAACTTTTTAAATAATTAATAATTATTTATATTTTATATAGTACTTTTAATAATTTTTTTACAATACAAAAATAACAATAATTAATTTTATCTAGTTGTTCATCAAACCGATGAAACTAACCAACCTAACATTACTCGACCTGAGTTGGTCAATTTCTAGTATTTTTGATTGGCTTTAATTCAACAATTACCTAACCTAACCAAGTTGGTATCAGTTTTGGTTTGGTTATTTGTAAATCGACCAAAATTGGACTAACCTGACCATATATCTATCTATCTATCTATCTATCTATATATATAGGGAAAAGTGGAAAATTTTCCATATAACTTAGTCTAAAATATTTTATATCATAAATTTATTTTTTAATATACCACTATAATATTTTAAATTTTAATTTTAATTTTAATTTGGAATCTTTTGAACCGACTAACCAAACTAAAAAATGACACAAACCAATACAACCCAAGTTGGCTGGTTTTCATTGATGATCAATCAATTTCAGGTGACCAAATCCCCAACCAGACTAGGTAGATTTGGTTGGCAAAACAAGCTATAACGGAACCGAACCAACCTGTGAACACTCCTAATTTAAGATAAATTAATAGTCTAATATTTAGTAAATAAAAATTGTTTAGTCTCCAATATTTATTGAAAACTTATAGTGAAAATATATAATTTTGAAAATAAATTCTTAATGAAAATAGAATAAATACAATAATTACTAAAATACAATAAATATTGAAAATATATTAAATTATTCAATAAATAGTGTAATCTCAAACAATAGTTTATTCTCCAATAAATATTAATGAATATATTATAACAAAAATACAATAAGTATAATAAATTAAACTTAAGTTAAATAGTAGTAGTTTAATATCCAATAATTATTGAAAGTTTTCTAATAAATAATAAAACAAAATGGATTTATACATAATTATTGAAAATATATTTATCATAGAAAAGGCAATAAATAATTACTGAAAATACAATAAATATTAATTTTAGTCTATATAAATATATAATAAACATACATTAAGATTTTAAAATTATTATTAATAAATATTAATTTTTTTAAAGTTATTCTCTATAATTATTAATATATATAAGTGAAATTAGTTTACAATATTATTTAGTTATTTAAATGATATCATTATTTAAAATTTTATAAAATTAATTATTTCTTGAATTTAATAATCCATAAGATTATAATTTAAACTATAATTACATAATTTCGTTATTAATTTTGTAAAATATTAAATTATTATTAATTCGAATGTCATGAAATCTATTATAATTATTTTTATAACTTTAAGAGTTTTTTAAATTTATTACATAATTTCTTTATTTAAATATTTAAATAATATGTAAAGTATTTAAAACTTTTCATTATTTGAATTTTATTTATTTTATAGTTATTACGTTATGTTAAAATATATTTTTATATAATTATTTAGCTATTTTTAATTTTTTATTTAAGACATTTAGTTATTGAAATATTTAAACAATAATTTTATTTTTATTTTTTTTCATTTTAATAAGTTTTTAAATTGGATAATCAGTAAAATTATAATTTATATTGTTAGTACATAATTTTGTGATGAATTTTGTAAAAGTACAAAATTATCAATAATATGAATATTAGTAAATATATTATAATTATTTTTGTGTTTTTAATAAATATTTTCAAGTTATTATATAATTTAATTTTAATATTTAAGTAATTCTTAAATTTGTTAATTGAAACTTTCTTTAGATAAACATGATAAAAAGTGGGGGAGATGATAAATAGGAATTAGAGATAATTTAGGAGAAAGTAGGGGATAATGGTACCACTTGGCAAAGTGGGGATGACGATAAATAGAAATTGGAGATAATTTAGGAGATAAAAAAGAATTATAGATAATTTAGGAGAAAGTGAGGGATGGTGGTACCACTTGGCTAGACGTTAGAAAAGCAAATCCCTCTTTCTTTATTTATTGGTTGTTATCGATAATTTAGCCTACGCTATTTCCTTATTGGTTTAATGGGCATTTATGTGGAATTAAAATAAGAAAAAAATAAGAAAAAAAGAAATTAGGAAGGGGATTTGGAGAAAGGAAAGGCATGGTGACATGGACAACCTTGCTTTATATATACTAGCGGGCCCCGTGCGATGCACAGGATGGGGCACTCCTCCCTATCCCTCGTCCTCATAGTCAAGACAATCTACCCCATCCCCGCCTCGTCCCTAGTGGTGGGGCAGGTTCAAGGCAAGGCACCCATTCCCAGTCGGGGATGGGGAATCCCTAAATTTTCCCTACCTGAGACAATCTAATTTGTGGATATTTTACAAATAGGATTATAGCAGCAATTTGGGGGTTTTTTATAAATGGAATTGTGGGATCCTACGATTATAAAAATATGAGGAAAACTTAGAGATATTTTAAAAATCAATATTAAATATACTGATATTTTACTAATTTACCATCAGGATTGGGGGATTATATGCAAACCCCATCCCTGATTTGGAGCACAAATATTACCCTGCCCCCATTCTATCTCTTCACCATCCCTATTTAAAATTTGAGAAAACTTGCCCCATTCGGGGTGAGGCAGGGCAGGCCCTAGTTTTATAGGGAAAAGTTCCATTCCTACAATTCTAATAATTTTCTATAACTAACTAACTAATAGTAAACTAAATAACAATAAATTTCCATCCCTACAATTCTAATTATTGAAATTGTTGTTGATTAGCAAAAATGTATAGTAAATTAGTTATTGACAATAGCAATAAATTAATGTGAACTAATATAAATAATTTACTTTTTTAGCCTAAATTATTTACTATTAATAAATGTGATGTAATTATAGTAAATTAATGTAATTATAGTAAATTACATTAATTTTAATTAAAAATAAATCATTTATTGTTAATTAATGTAAAGCCAATAGTGGTTGAATTCAACCAAGTGGTCTAGACCAGTGTGGATAGATTTAATAATTTTCCTAAATTATTTCATAATTATTTATTAAAATAATAATAATGGATAGTTATTTAAATAAATATGAAACAATTTCTTATAGATTAATTTCCTAATTTAATTTCCTTATTTTTTAATAATTATTTAGTTGAATAATAATAATGGATTATTATTTAAATAGTTTTGGAGAATATTTTTTTAGATTAATTTCTTAATTTAATTTTCCTACAATTAATTTCCTAATTTAATTTCCTTATTTTTTAATAATTATTTAGTTGAATAATAATAATGGATTATTATTTAAATAGTTTTGGAGAATATTTTTTTTCATAGATTAATTTCCTAATTTTTTTAATTATTATTTATTTAAAAAATTATGGATTATTAGT